CCAAAATGCCTTCTACCCATAATAAAGGGTAAATGTGGTAAATTGTAGGCATTTTAGATGTGGGTAGAAGTGTTTTTTGGGATGCGCAAAAAATGAAACGGTACAAACTTTTTGGGACGGAGGGAGTATGTAACTTGTAATGTGCATAAACTATTTTACTTACTCGTAATGGTTGTATTTTACATTTATTTGAAGGTTTTTTCAATAGTATAGTAATTTAATTATTTTTTTTTTTTGAAAAAAACATCTAATTTTTTTGTCTTATCTAGACCATTCTTTTGTAAAAGTATAGCTTCATTCGCCCCCTTATTTTTGTTACATGGATTAGTGACATGCAACTTAAGAATAAAAAAAAATATATGATTGATATTGATTTTAAAATGTAAAGAAGTAAGCGTAGAGCCGTACAGAAATGTTATAATGATTTGAGACAAAAATATTATGACATAGAGGAAAATAAAAAGAGAAATTAAAAAAGAATAGTATACATTTTTCAAATCAAATATGTAATTCATTAAATATAATAATTATTTCAACACTTTTCATTTTTTCGAACTCCTTTCAGTTTTTTCAAGTCTTTCTAACTTTTTTCAACTTCTTCCAATTTTTCCAACTCTTTCCAGTTTTTTCTAACTTCTACTTTTTCTTCCAACATTTTCGATTTCTTCCAACTTCTTCAGTTTCTTCGAACTCCTTCAAGTTTTTTTCCAACTACTAGTTTCTTTCAACTCCCAGTTCCTCTACCCCTTCTCCTGCCCACTATTATGAGCCCATCACATCTTTTCAGTGGGTCTCTGCACTTTTCCTCCTCACATGCCCAAATCACTTCATCCTAGTTTCACAACCTATTTTCCAAAAGGACCATTCCCACCCTTTGTTGAATTACCTTTTTTGAAATCTTACCCATCCTTGTATGCCCACTCATCCACCTCAATCTCTGCCACGTGATGATGATAGCATAAATTTTCTTCACTGTTTTACACTTTGCTCTGAATTACATAGCTGGTCTAACTATTGTCCATAAAACTTACCTTCCATGTTTGTCAATAGCGCCCCACTTTGCCCATGTGGCTCCAATAAGATAAACATCTCCATCTATCCCCCTATATGCCTAAATGACCGAACCAAGATACCAAAACTTGTCTCTTCTAGGCACTATGTTTGAATCAAGCCTTCCACTTTTGATTCAGTCTAACCAATGAAGCAACATTTTATGCATTTGGTCTTAGTCCTGCTCAATTTGAAACCTTTTATTCCAAGGACCGGTGCCACATTTACATCTTATCATTAAGACCCTCACATGTCTCATCAATAAGTACAATGCCATCTGCAAATAACATGCACCAAGGTACTTCTCCCTGAATATGATGTCTCAAAACATTAATCAACAATGCAAACAGGAACGGACTTAGGGCAGACCCTAACCCCAACTGTGCTGGGAGTTGTCAAATTCACCCCCCGACAGCCTTCTCCCCGGTCCTTGCCCCTACGTACATGTCTTTGAGTCTTTGACTGCACGGATGTTAGCAGCCGATACCCCTTTGAATTTGGACACCTCCACAAGATTCCATGTAATCATCTCATATGACTTCTCCCTTTCAATAAAAACTTGGGTAGGTTCCTCTTCTTATCCTTATACTCCTCCATCATCCTCCACAAGAGGTGACTGACCTCATTACTAGACCTGACATGCATGAAACCCAGCTGATTTTTGAAAGCGCGCACCTTCTTCCTCAACTTAGCCTCCACAGTTATTGCAACTTCGAATATCACCTTTGCTCTGGATGCACACTAACATTACTGGTACTTGATATGGCAGGAGACAAACAGTGGGACATATAAAAAATGTAAAAATGGACAAAATAGTGGGATGACAGGAGTATTATATATGTTGTCCAGATTAGAAAACAAAACTTAAATTAGAGAACGAAAAAACCAGAAAACAGACAACGGAAACATAATAAAGTAAATTGACCCTCAAAGTTATGAGAATAGACCTTTGTAAATTATTCACATAATACAATGTTCTGAGATATATAGATCTTGGCAAATCATACATACCTATGATAAATATTTTAGTATTGTCTGTTCCCCTATTTTGTGTAGCTCTTTGGTTGCACACATGTGTTTCACAGCTGGGGTACTCTAGAATCTAGATGTAGATGAGTTATCTCAAGTTGTCCGCTCACTCTGCCACCATTAATATCTGAAGAATTAGCCTGTGTCATTCTTCACTGTTAATATCTATCCTTTGTAGAAAATGGACACATTCCGGAGTCTGCAAGGCTTGACAAGCGTTTGGGGTCAAATTCTGCTACTCCACAAGAACCACTAGCAAATCCACCATTGGCCTTTTCTGTGGTGGGGGACAATAATGACAATTACAGAACCACTTGCTCAAATGAAGCAAATGAAGGAAAAGAGCCAACATCTGATGGTGAGAACTGTTATTATCCTAGATGGGTACATCTCATTGTTTTTTGGAGAAAAGCTGTCAACCCTCTGTTTTTTGTGCCACACCCAAGTATATGTGCCTAGTTCAATTCATAGTTGAATAATGAAGAAAGGTTTATGGAGATAATGTTTGGGACTTGCAGGAAATAAAGCCCTTGGTGATGATGTCATTTCTCTGAATGAGGGGGGGGTTATGCACGAGAAAGATTTTGGTTGTGAAATGAGTGCTGAAATTTTGGGGGTAGGCATGACTGATCATGAAGCAGCTGTTGTAGAAGATATGGATATATCACCAAGGTTTAATGATACTTGATGCCTGAGTCATATTTTGTTCTTTTCTTTTGTCCACTCGTGCTTTAAAGAGTTAAATGGTGAATTTTTTTGTATCATTTCTAGACAGAATCCTTATAGATCTAGATGTTTTTAGGTCGGATGTTCCTCTTTCAAGATCAAGAAGTTTACCATCTGGTTCTGAATGCAATGACCAAAACAAACGACAAGCAATTATATGTGACTTTTTTGCGAAAGGTTGGTGCATCAAGGGAACTTCCTGTAGGTTCCTTCATGTAAGGGATAATGCTGCTAGTAGTCCCAAGGAGAGTAGGGTAGATGCTAAGCTAATGGGCATACATCAAGGTATATACTATTTTGTAGTATTCTTAGGTCAAGTCTTCAAGGAGCAGTCCTAACTAGTACATTGTATCTTGTAGGTTTGAAGGATACGACTTCAATATCTGCAAAGATTGTGCCTTCTGATCCGGCTCTTGCTTGGATTGAACGTGAAGCGACACTAAGGTCAAAGAGTGGAGAGGAAGTGGCTGTACACAAAAGTGATCCTTTGTCTGCTACCTCTTTTAAGGTGAAAGACATTGTGAATGATCTTGAACATAAGCCATACTTAGCTAATTATAGCCACTCTTCTTCATCAATACTCAAGGACTGTTCTCAAACTTTCGGGAAGGGCTCTTTCGGTAAAGGTTTGCCTTCTAAAAGTTATCAAACTGATGGGGTTCCCACTCATTTATCACATTTAGAAGACATAAGAAGTAAGGGAAGCCAAAGCCAGTTCAAGCATGATGGTTCCCCTGGCTTGCATAAGATAGTAGAAGGTGGCAAAGAACGTTCTGTTTCTGGATCTGTTATCTCTTTGCAAAACAGGTCTCCTCCGATATCTGGTTCTGAATCAGAGTTAATTTCTCATGCTGGTATATCTGCCTTTACACAACAATCATATTTGTATAAGCCAAAGCCATCCTTTGACCATTGGGAGCCTTCTGTTCCATTTCGCCCATCGTTCTTGATTACTCGGCGTATGTTATCTGAGGCAAGTCTGTACGATCCTATGCGAGACAGCATTGAGCAGACAAATGCTCAAGATAAGCCTTCACAGTCCCCTTTGTCAGGTCATGGTGCATCTGCTTTTGGCACACAAAATGCTGATTCATGCCTTAACCCTGAACAGAGCTCTAACAAACATTCGGTTTCTAGTCACAGTTCTCACCAGGATACTGTTTGGAGAAATCTTACAGCGAAAGAAAATGAACTAAAAGATACTGCTCGGGCTCCACCTGAGAAGATTCGTACTAGTTTGAAAGGAAAGCAACTTCTAAATGATTCTGATTTTAGAGAGAACACAGAATCGGAAAAGGCACATTATAATAATCATTCTGTGCAGAAGAATGGGTCAAAGTGTAAGATGGAACTGAAAGCAGAGAAAACCAATGGTCAAATTAATGTTGATGATTTAGCTCACCAGGAATCTAAAAAACTGTTTCAGTCTTCTCTTGTGGAGTTCATCAAGCAACTATTGAAACCAACTTGGCATTTGGGTTTGGTGAGTCGTGATGCCTACAAGGTTATTGTAAAAAAGACAGCTGATAAGGTTCTTGGTGCATTGCAAACCCAACAAATTCCTGATAATCCTGAATCTGTCAAAGAGTATCTTTCATGCGTTCAGCCGAAACTTGAGAAGCTTGTTAATGTGAGTTTTTTGGACTTGGAAGATTTACATAGATGGAGATATGACTAGGGATACAAGTCCACTGTTTTGACCTGGATTTTGTTTTATTTCAATTGCAGGGTTATGTTGATAAGTATGGCCAGTTGTGACACGCATAACAAGTTTGGAACCTAATATACTACGTAGTTTGGAGCTATCCCAACCGGGGATATTAGGAGTTCTGCCAACTGGTACCATTGCTCTTTCTACAGGGAGTAATTTTTTCTAGACCTTAGGCATATGCTTATAAATACTTAAGTTCTACTTGTGAATTTATATATTTTTAAACATCAACAAGCTATCTGTTTCTTATATTGTATAGTCTAGTGTTTCTGCTTCTTACCTGTGTGAGTATGTAGAGTTACTTTCCATCACGAGGATAGAGCTTGCTAACTAGTTGTCCCTTAGAAACATCATGCTGAACACATTAGTTTTGTTTGTTCAACCATACATGATGATAGAGGTATAGCATTCCTGAATAATAACGCCACAAAAATCAATCTGTAGCTATTAAGAATAACTTATATACACATTGATATAACCAAGGCTGGATGAACTCACAGTGAAGCTTTGTATCACAGCTGCGGGTTGAGTTCATGTCCATTCTCACAAGCTGTGAAGTTGTATTTGTACAGTTTCAGATGCAGCGCATGAAGAGACATGAGAATGAAACATTTTCATTGCAAAAAGGACAAGGCAATGGCGGCTTCAGTTAATATGGTTTTTCTTCTCTTCCTCAGAGGTAATTTTACTTCGAAAAGAATATTTCATCCCTTTTTTTCATAGAAAGCATGCATATCGAGGGTATACACTAAAAGTTATAAGGGTGTAAGTGAGTTTCACCCATCATTGAAGCCCTAGGATTTTATGATGCTGTTGAAGCATATCACCTTCCTACCTGTATCAGTAAAATAGGTTTATTTGAAAAATAGTGGACAACGAACGTAGCACAACCTTTGTCCTAGGAGTTTCTGGCTATATACAAGTATTTCATTGTAATCCTTGGAATAGTGGTGGACAAGGTCTGGTTCAGGTTTTGTCGGTTTCAAGTACACCATTTCAGAATTGATGTCGGTTGGAGGCATAGGTGCCAAGGCAAGGTGCAGCACCAGCTTGATGTCTAGGCGACCACCCAGGTGACAATTAGGCGACGAGTCATAAAAGATAAAATATAATAACATTAATACAAATATACCATCATAAATTAAAGGACATAGTTTCATTTAAAGTTGATATAGTTTACTTTCAAATCAATTTATTTTAAAATCAGTGTAGAAATATGAATAATAATTTATATACTTAGAAATTGCATCAAAGTTCAACAAAAATAAGAGGTGAGATAATTGTATTATTTAGTCATATTATTGATAAAAATATCTAAAGAAAAAAAGATTTAGTTTGACCTTGTGAATAGTAATTGTTTTTTATTTTGGGACGAAAATGGTAGAAGTATTTGTTTTTTGAAAAGTACAAACTTCATAGTCAACATGTCTAATATTCATTTGAAAAAAGTACAATACTCATTAGTTTTATCATTGGACCCGCTCCATCTATAGCCAAACCAATTGTAAGAATAATTATTACTTCCGTTGTCCTAATTTAGTAAGTTACTTGTCTATTATTCATATAATCAAATTTTAACCACTGGCTTTGTTCAATTTTGTTACTCATTTGATAAAGTAATATAGTTATGTCACTTCTTGTTTTATAAATTTTTTGATGTAGTTTTAAAATATATAATTTATATTTTATAATTCAATACAAAATTTCAAATTAATTGAATTGAAAAATATTTTAATGAAACACAATAAGTAACAACAGGCGATTTAAATAGAGACAAAGAGAGTATAAGTCTTGATTACTTGGGGCTTGTTCTTTTGAGTGGAATTTTAGATTTGGATGTTGTAAGAAACCAGAAAGAATTGTAAGAAATTGGAAGGAGTTGGAAGAAATTAGGAGAGGTTGAACGAAACTAGAATATGTTAAAAGAAATTAGAAGTTGGAGCAAACTCGAAGTTGGAAGATCTAGAAGTAGTTGGAAATAATTGGAAAATGTTGGAAATATTAAGAAATGCTGGGAAAATAAATAAATGTTGAAATGAGTATTATATTTTAGGATTTTTTATTTTTATTAAAACAATTTATATTTTGTTTATTTTAATTACAATGGTGATGATCATTTAACATATTACACTAACATTTAACACTAACATTTAACACTAACATGTTTAATGATAATATCATTTAACATGTTAGTGGTATAATGAGAATAATATAAAAAAGTATACTTGAATGAATGTTTTAAGTCAATGTTGGAAGAAACTTGAAGGAGTTGGATGGAATTAGAATTTTATTATAGAAGAAACTAGGAGTTGGAAAAAATTGGGAAAGAGTTCAAAGAAACTGAAAAGAGTAGAAAAATGTTGGAAGTTAATCTCTTCAAACCTGAGGAACATATCCTTAATTGAAGAATAAAGCAATAGATGGAGTAACCTAAGATTTGGGTTGCGGAGCATAAATAAAGCCTACTTAGTCAAATTCATACAAGATCTAGGGCACTAGGTACATGACTTCAAGGTTACCATGGAAAAAAGAGAAGGGAGTGAAGGACAACTCAAGCATGGAGCACCGAAGGAGTACACTTCAAAAGATTAGATTTGATCCAATTTGCTATATATTTTCAAAGGTTGAATTGTAGATTTGGCAGTCCTACACAAGGTATTCATTTATTGAATCTTCGCTCTCGTTTATTGAATCTTCGCTCTCACCGCGGAAGAACCAAGTTGTGCGTTACATGGAAGCCAAGTTGTCATCCATAAGACATCGGGCAATGCCATTTATATTTCTTGCAAGGCGAATGATATTGGCGAGCATCTCTAGTGTCGGTATGCCTAGACGATGTCATGATTACTATTCCAGCTTCAAACTTGTTACAAAAAATTATACAACAAATAAATACAATTATATATTTAATTAAACAAATAGCATAAATTTTCTCTTAAGTTTTTTCCCACAATAATTAATTGATTAAAGTGGTTTGAAACCTACTTCTCTAAATATAGTTCATTTCTTGTCCGCAATGACCAGTTGTGGTTTCAAACAGGAACTTTGTCTATTACTACCTTGAAATATATGTGGTCTCCCTTTCGACACATTTTTTCAGATTTACTTTTGTCTATCTCAGTGTAACCAATATTTATTAATGGAAGATACATTTAGGGGATGTGTGACATAGTTAAATAAAATTGAATTGAATGATACTAAACTAATTGTAGTTTTATGTTGAACTAAATGATACTAAACTAAATTGTATGCCACTATAATCAATTAAATACTAATAAATGGCCACAAGTACTTTGCTTAATATTGACACCAGAATACATGTTAATCCTTCAATGGTCATAGTTGTCACAATGCCAAGGCGAGTTGCAGTGTTAGTGTAGTCCATGACGCCTAGTCGACTTAGCGACAAGTTATAAATGAAAATAGTTGTACATTAGCACCACTAATATAAGTACATGACATTATATATTGTAGTTCATAAACCTTACAGTTCAAGAAAGTTTTATATCCATATGAAAGAAAATATGGAATGAAGTCTCAGAAATCATCAAGAATGGGGTCGAGAGGATCATCAATCTTATTGTGTTGGTTAATAGGCATGTTTCCACGATTTGACGAAGTATGTGTCGAGATAGTTCAAAATCACTATAGTTAGTTGTTGGTCGTTCAGTTCAAAAAAACCACTGATGAAGGCGCGTGGGTGCACTATTCCGTGGTGAAGATTGTAACTTTACACAAATTTCCCTTTTTTCACCTAGTAAAGGAACTTTGCACATTTCTTGTTTGAAGATCGACGAATTGAATGATAGTTTTGTTCCAAATTTTCCTTTTTTTCTCTAAATTGAACATTTTTTCATTTTGTATAAATCTAGAATCTAGATCTTATTTCAAAATTATAGCGCCCATTTTGGGCAACTCTCAATCTTTTTTTGGCCGAGTTGCATGTTTCTACATGGTGCTCAAGCGCATAGGTGGTTTGGCCAATAGTGGCTCAAGAAATATTGAATGGTGGTCTCGACAGAAAACCTAGCATGAAAAACAATGTTGTTGTTCGCATTGTCACCCTTGAGTAGCTTCACTAGTACAACATCTCATTAAGATATTGTGTCATTCAAGATTGCTAGAAGCATCCCTCTCTCCAAGCTCCATGAACATCATTGCTAACCCATTGAAATCTTCAAAGATCAAAGGATTGAATTCATGCGCATGGCTTTGATGCTTTTGAATTCTTGTTGCCATCTTGCAATTATAATTAATGATTGCCAAGTCATTCAATCTTTTATGCTCCAATTGATTTCTTTTTTGGTGAAGATCTAAATAAAATTAGAAAATTGTCGTTAGTCAATTTTTTAGCTATTCTTTTATGTTCATGTTATATACTTTTATTAAAATTTAGGAGTAATTTACTTACTAGTTTGAACGTGCTTCACCTATGCTCATACCCAGATGACGTATAAGATGTCCAACGATACACTTTGCAAGTGCTTGGAGCTCAATAGTAAATCCACCAAATGCATCCATAGTAGAAGTAAACAAATATATGTGGACCTTTTGTCTTTTGTTGGTTGATTGCTAGTTTTGCAAACTCCCTCCCATTTTGTCGTGTTGCGCCACTATCAATATTTTTCCTCGTAAAAACACATTTGGGATTAGCAACACTTCATTAAGGATATTGTATGATGAGAAGCGATAACATCTTTGTGCTCGAGATCAAATATTTCGAAGGAATTAGAAAAAAAAGTCATTGAGTATGTCTTTGCTTTCATTTTGGTGTTCCCACCTTGTAACACCTCTGCCACACCCTTCCCTGAAATCTCTGGTCATAAGATTGTTCACTGGTTCTATAAACCAACATAAGCCTTTCCCACGCACTTTGTGCTTACTCGTGCACATCTGGGGAAGGCTAATGATGGTTTGTATGGCTAGTCTTCTATCCTAAAATTGCTTCAAGTCAAGCACAATTAACTTTGAAGTTTTGAGAGATGGGCTTTTGAAAAGAAACATCTTGTTGGTATGAGTAGAACTATCAATTCTTTTGACATCTTTCCATTTCATGTTAATACGGGGTATTACACATCGAGTCTCAACGAGCTCCATTACTTTTGCAATTTTGTTGGCTTGACATGTAAAACGTTTGTGATTTTGTTTTTGGCTACTTCTATAGCCAACGGTTAACATCAAAAATCTTCAATACAAGCAAAAGTTGGTGTGATGCATGGGAACATCCTCGACCACTAGCTAAAATGTATTAGAAGTCTGCCATTTTTTTGAACACAGAAGACTGCCACTAAATTTATTCTCTACCTCCATTGCTTCCAGTTTTGATCTACTCTAATTCTCACTAGTAAATAATACTTTCAAAGCGTCTTTGAATTTATGAAGACGTTGCAAAGTAAAAAATATGGTTGAAAATCTAGTGACTTTGGGTCTCACAAGGTCTTTACCCTATGTCTTCTCTCTCATTATCTGCGAATCGTTCCATTATGGTATATATAAGTAGTGAGATGCCTTGCTCTTTTAATGGTAAACTTAAAGTCAGAGAACTTTCCAATGTCTTCTAACATGAGGTCAATGCAATGCACATTATAAAGGGCCCAAAATAGTGTGTATTCACTCTTGTCGTACTTTGCTCACCGCATTGTAATTAGAGTCGTTATCCGTCACAATTTCTATTGTGAAACACCACGTACACCTCTAGGGGTGGAGGATAAAGGTGTTCTTTTACATATGATGATCTTTTGCAAAGAAAAAAATTACAATACTCCAACATATAAAAATGCAAGAATAATGTAGAGAAGTGTAAGGAACAACGATATACTAGTATAGACTATTGCTTACGTCTAGTCCCAGAACATACTTGTTTGAGATTCCACTAATCTTCATCAAACTTTATGGGTTTTTACAATCCAAATACGACTCAAGAATTTGATTTCTAAAGCCTCCAATCTTTCCATTGAAGTTTTGATTTCACAAGACTTAAAATATTTACCCTTGCCATAGTCCCAATTCCAAGCTATACAATATTCTTACACAAAGTAAGAAATTTTGAGTTTGCACAGAAGAGAAGTACTACAATCAAGTAGCTATGTTGTCGTTACAAGATACTAGAAGAATATGGCAATTATTACTATCCAAAATTGACTCAAGCAAGAGTGCTAATGACAAGGATTTTGTATGCATAAAGGGTTGAAAATTTGGAGGATAATGGAGGCCTTAATCTCTTGAAAAGTTGTGAAGGCTCAATGAATTTCATGCTCTTGGATAATGAAAAAGATGAGAAGAAAGAGCAAAAAATGCCTTCAAAATTTTTAAAAATAGCTATTGGAAGAAGTTGAAACCAACCAACATTCGAATGTTAGAAGCAATTTGAAACAATTTTCAACAACGATCACAATTGGTTTAGCTCTGAACCTCAAACATGCGAATGTTTCGAAGGCAACATTCAAATGTTACATAGTTTTGGACTATGAGCTTCCTGAACATTTTAATGGTTATAAGTTAACATTCGAATGTTCTGATTGATATTCAAACCAAACATTTTGAATTTCAACAACATTCGTCTGTAGCAATATGACATTCAAATGTATTGCTGAAAAATACTAAAACCTTAAGAATAACCTTTTATTTAAATGCAAAAAGGTAATCATTTAAATGAGTTAAATAAAAGAAGAGGTTTTTGAAAATAGATGAAAAATCCTTCTTCAAAGAGCAAATAGATGTCATATTCATACAAAAGTACTAAGGATTTAAAAGACTAACTCACTAAAGTCCTGTTTGGGACACGGAATTCAAAATATGGAATTGGAATTAAGTGTAACAGGGTTGACTAAATGCCCATTTTAGTTTGTCTTTCATCAATAACTTTTGAAGTTTTCCTTAGTATAAAAGAAATACACTTTTTTTTTTGTGATTGTGATTGTGATAGTGTGGTAGTTGTAGTGTGACAATGTGCTGAGTGTGGCAATGTAACCATGATAGGGTATTTTCATAGTTTTTATAGTTTAGTCTTATTAGATTTGGGACTCATATTTTGGTATTTTCATAGTTTTTATCCTGGCCTATGGAGCTTCTCTCTTGCTAAAGTATACTAAGAAACGAAATACAAAACATCGATTCGCATAATAATTTGAATATGTTCGGTGATAGACTTTATGGCATTTAATGATAGACGCTCTCTGAAGTGTTTGAGTGCTCCTTGCTTATGAAAGAAAACCATTTTTAAGCGATGGTAGTTTGGTTGTGGTTGTGGCAACATGGAGGAGGTGGTAGTTTGGCGTCTTTGCTTGAAGTGTGGCGACGATTTAGCAGTGTGGCAGTGGGAGTTGCAGGGGTGGTGGCAATGTGGCGGCGAAGGTGCCAATGTATCAGCGAAGGTTGCAGCGTGGAGACGGCCGTTGCAGGGGCAATGGGTTGGAGAAGGTGACTGTGTGGCGGTGGAGTTGGCAGTGAGTAGCGATGTGACGGTAGAGATGGCACCACTGGTGGAGGAGGCAATGAGGCTGACAGTAGGGATGACAACAGGTTGGGTTCGGGTCGGATAGTACTATACCCAAACCCGACCCGAACCTGGCATTTCAATCCAAAATCCGAACCCGACTCGAACCTGACTTTTAACCAATAATCAATTTGACGTACCCCAATTATTTTAAAAGGATTAAATCTAATTTTTTTGTCTCTTTTTCGTGTCTCATTTTTTATTTAGGAATTATAAAAATGATTAAAAAAGCCATACAGGATATAGTAACACTTTGTCAAGAGATTATACGGAGTGCTCATTATATTCATAGATAGGCTTTTATGTTATTAAATATTTGGGTTTGAGTCGGTCGGGTGCGGGTTCGGGTCGGGTAAAATTATAAATCCACACCCGATCCGACCCGATGTCGGGTTCGGGTAAAAAATTTGGGTCGGGTTTGGATTATTTTATCCTTGGTTCGGGTTTGGATAATTTAGTGCTCGATTGGGTCAATTAAGCTCGGGTTCGGGTTGAATTGTCATCCCTAGCTGACAGAATGACATGGTGGTGGCAACGTTGCAGTGTGGCAGCGAAGTCGACAATGTGTCGGTGAAGGATGCAGGATATGGCAACAACCAAGCTCCCAATTCAGAATTTTTTCTTCTAGCACCTTAATGTCAATGAGCAATGCTAGGTTCACATACATGTCATAAACGTCCCAAATTTATCATTTATGGTTTAAATTTTCTTTTTAAAATTATTTTAGACTATTAAATTTTTTTATTGAAGTTCATAAATAATAAGTCTGTGAATTTTGTGACTATTTTATTTGTGAATTTTGCATTTCTTGATGTCAATAGCTAACCCCTTTTGCAATATAGTGTTTCAAATTTTAAGAGTAAATTCTATAATTAATCCTTTATAACAGGGGGGTTTTCCTATTTAGTCCTCTATTATCAAATATTACCAAAGTGGTCCTTTTATGGGTACTTTTCCACAAATAGTCCTTTTTTAATCTTCTATCATGTTGGAGTTAATTTGAGGGCTAAAAGTGTAATTTCACAATGATAATATATTTTTTTTGTCATACACAATTCCAAAAGCCGTTTCGTTTGTGTTGTTTGTGAATTACAGTCGCTTTTTACGACAACTATAGTCTACAAATGTGATCTTTCATCAGAATCCTAGCCCACAATCATAGTCATTATTTTATGTTATCCGCTTAACCAATATCAGAACACGTCACTAGACATAATGTTGACGTCAAATTATACTTTTAGTCTTTAAATTAACACCAACACGGCAGAAGATCAAAAAAGGACCATTTGTGGAAAGGTACCCTTAAAAAAGGACTACGGGGGTAATATTTGATAATAGAGGACTAAATATGGAAATCCTCCTATTATAAAGGACTAATTATGGAATCTACTCAAATTTTAATTAAGTTATTTATACACAAGTTGTATCTCAAATTATAAACTTGCATGTCTTCACCTTCATTATGTGAGATGAGATCCAACAGACATAAAATGTTAATACAAAATTTTTTTATCATACTAGCATTTTTATCAATGTCAACCACTGATATGTAAAAAAAAGATGAGTACCATCCACGAGGGATTCTCAAATCCGGTGAAATTGTCACGGAGAGTATGTGGATTAAATTATAATCGCAGATGGGTGACATGAAGTGAAGGCTACACCTGATACTTGTAGAGGCATTACGTGTAAGATAGTTTTGATATATATTTTGGAGTAAATTCCATAATTGGTCCTTTATAACAGGGGGGTTTCCATATTTAGTCCTCTATTATCAAATATTACCTCCGTAGTCCTTTTTTTAAGGGTACCTTTCCACAAATGGTCCTTTTTTGATCTTCTGCCGTTTTGGTGTTAATTTAAAGGCTAAAAATATAATTTGACGTCAACATTATGTCTAGTGACGTGTTCTGATATTGGTCAAGCGGATAACACAAAAATAATGACTATGATTGTGGGCTAGAATTCTGACGAAAGATCACATTTGTAGACTATAGTTGTCGTAAAAAGCGAATGTAATTCACAAATGACGCAAACAGAACAGCCTTTGGAATTGTGTATGACAAAAAAGATATATTATCATTGTAAAATTACACTTTTAGCCCTCAAATTAACACCAACATGATAGAAGATCAAAAAAAGGACTATTTGTGGAAAGATACCCATAAAAGAAGGACCACTTGGATAATATTTGATAATAGAGGACTAAATAGGGAAATTCTCTATTATAAAGGACCAATTATAAAATTTACTCTATATTTTGGGGAAAATGGTTAAAAATGTACTCTGGTAGTGACGTTTGGCTTGATGATTTGATAGTTGTACAGTACAGCAGACATTATCTTTTGTTTGTTTATTTCACTGCTTCTTCATCCTTATCCATTTCTAGATTGGACACGTGTTACTGAATATCTCCTTCCCTTTTTTCTCGATGATTGCACATTGAGCAATGCTCCGTCTCACTCTCTTTGTCCACTTACCTTTTAGCACACTATCTAATGCACTTCTTTAATCCATTTTATCTTGTAATTTGTATATTAAAAAATTATAGAAATTATATATTAATAATCTATATGTTAAGACAAATCAAACAAGATCACACATGACTATATTTAGGCTTATACATTGAGAGAATTTGATGAGTCAAAGTGTTTAGATGAACAGTACCAAAAGTCAAAAGTGGACAAAGAGAGTGGGACGGAGGTAGTATTAAAGGTGTACCCCATTTGTCCCCCACTCATTTTTCACCAACCATTTTATTTAATTTTTACTTATTTAATTCTTTTTAAAGTTTTTGCCCATATATGTGGTAAAGGAGGGGATGCGAGACAAATAGGGTACACCAAATAGTGTACTTGTAGCATTTTTCTTTCACATTTGCACATCTATTTTCATCATTTTGAGAACAATTAAGTCATTTGTACACCAAAGTCATACTCCTTCCGTTCCAGAATATTTATCCACTTTCATTTTTACACATTATTCAATACACTTCTTTAATCTATTTTATCTTGTAATTTATATATTAAAAAAATATAAAATTATATATTAATAATCTATATGTTAAGACAAATCAAACAAGATCACACATGACTATATTTAGGCTTATTCAATTAGGGAATTTGATGAGTCAAAGTGCTTAGATGAACAGTTTCAAAACTCAAAAGTGGACAAAAATTGGGGGACAGAGGGAGTATCTCATTTTATACTCTGAAAGCATGCACTAAATTTTGTGAGATTCTTTTTTATGTAGAATACCTCAAATGTTGTAATAAAAAATTTTAAAACTTTAATTTGTAACCAAAAATACTTCACCTATAAACTTTGTAACAAAAAAATTAATACCGCTTACAAGTCACCAATAAGTAACAAAAAACATCTTAGGTAGTTTGCTTTATGTACAAAAAAACTCATATAAGTATAAATGTAAATAACTGATTTGCTGATTAAAGTTTTTTATCTTTTAACATTAAAAATTGATACGAATAATTTAAATATCTACATGAAAAACTTTGATGCTATAATGGAATGATAGTATGATACCATAAACATAATTTCTTCGTAATTGATATTTACATACTAAGGTTTTGGTAGTATTAGGAACCTCTTGGATGTTTTTGGGCAATCGACACATTTTTTTTTATGTAAAACTCAACAGAATTGAATTCTAACCTGTTGTTCAATTTTTGATTTTGGGTAAAAATTAAATCAAAAAACTAAACCCAAGCTTCCATCTTTCAATTGCTTCGTCGAACTAGTGTTGTTATATTTTTTTAATGCTTAAAAAATTTTATTTTTAGAAATCAAAAAAACCAAAATAAAACCGCATATAATCGAATCTAATAATACTTTTTGGATAAATTCAAATTGAACCGTGAACTTACCTTTCATTTTGTCTTTGGTGTTGGATGAAAATTGAACCGTCAAATTTGAACCACCGGTACTTTTGAGCACATTGGTTATTAGTAATTACGTGTTCAATGGCCAAATAGTACCATTACTCTTAGTGGTTTTGAAACTAGACATTAATACCCTCATGTTTTTCAAAATTTATTTCTAAAGTTTTTGTAGTTTCAAAACGTTACACCAATACTCCTCAGGTCAATTTCCGGTGAAAAAGGGGTGTTGGTGCCTATTTTTCAAATCATAGAAGGCACTTGTACTCATTTCTTATTTTTTTATCTTCCCCCTTTTTTGCTTTATTTTTTGCTTTTATTAATCAAAGTTTTTTAATTTTTTTAAAATTATTTTTATAATGTTTTTAACATATAGTGCATTTGTACATCTTAATTTACAATTCTTATAGTTTTTTCTCCAAAATAAAATAAGAAATAAAATAAAACAAAAACTAAAAATGAATATCCTTTTTGGATATCCCAATTCTAAAGACCTTTTTAGGTTAAAATTCTTTTTTGCATAAGACTATTGCATGTTTTAATTCTTTTATTTTGTTTTTTCATATTTTTATTATTAAGGATTTTCCTTTTGAATTTACTAAAAAATTATTCTATAAAATAAAAGTGAAATTCTTTAATTTGAGATAGTTGGAGTATATGTTAATTTTTTTCATTTCAAACACAAAATTTTGAATTTTTAAAAACATTATGGAAAATTAAATAAAACTAAAAAAAGCTAGGAAAATAAAACAAAGAGATAAAAAAGTTCAAAAAAAAAGTAAAAAAAAAAAAATTAAACAAAAAATTAAAAATGAGCACAAGTACTCTCTATTGTTTAGAAAATAGGGCAACAATAGACGCTCATTGCCGAAAAATGACTGATGGGATATTAGTGGCAGTTTTCAAAACCACAAAGGGCACTGAAGCTATTTGGCCTTTGTCCAATTAAGCTAAATACTATTACACCTTTATCCTATTTTTCTTCTTTTTCTATTAAATATTCTAAAGTGAATTTAAATGGTCTTTTTTATTTTAGCTTTATCCTTATATTACTTTATATTAAATGGAGAAAGAATTTGAAAGTTACCCTAATGACTTATGAAATTTATATTTATATCTATCCATGTTCTGGTTTGTTTTTAATTTAGGCTTGGTCTATACATCAAATTCGATACATTGAAAAGGTTGATTTTGGTGTTCGAACCAACTACGCAAAAAACTAAATGTTTAGTTTTTAAAATTATTTAAAAATAACATTAAAGGATTTAGAGGAAATAAAAAAAATAAGGGGATGAAAGTTTAATTGTATTTGATTTAATTGAACGTCTAAGAAATCAATGTGGTAAAAAATACAGTATACGAGTTATAAAATAAAGATGAGAAATTGCAGTATTGGTCTTTGTGACCTGTTGGACCTGCAAATCAATTTGAACACAAAATTCAACTAAAACAATTTTTTTAAGTACATGCAGTGGAGTAAAATACTCCACTTTGCTTTTGAATATAAATTTTAGGGGGTTTTTAATAGTTTTTATTTTAATATTTATTAATGTTTATTTCCTCTATCTTAAGATATTCATTTAGTTTGACTTTTACAAATTTAACATGACACATTTAAATCATCACTGAAATACGAGTTATTTTTGAAATTTTTTACAAGTACTAGTACAAGATAAATCTAATACGGAATATGTACACTATTTTTATACAAATACACAACATAATTTTTATTTAATTGATATAAAAATTTGTTGAGCATTATTGAATTTTTTCCGGATAAAAAAAAAGTGTGATTGAATGAATATAAAAAGAGGAAGATAATACTCGTATTTTATAATGGGCCCCATAAAAATTGTTATTAATGTTTTGAGTGAGATATTTTGCCCATCTACGGCTATATATATCTCTCCCTTGACACTATTTGAGTTAAATTGCGGTTAATTATAGTACTAGTAATACTAATAATAATAATAGACTGATAATAATAATTATTATTATTATTATATTTAATTAAAAGTAAAAGAAAACATGATTGAGAAATTTTGGGACGAAGTTATGGCCGGACCACACCCGGAGGAGACCGGCGGCGGCAGCCGCCTTGAGAAGCTGCGGAAGAACCTTTCAATCCAGACAAATGGTGGTGTGGATGAAGGGTCGTCGAGCAGCAAGAACCTGGGGTCGCCGGCGGTGCCGGTGAGTCCCACAACTCAATCTCCGACGGCGGCGCGTAAGGAGAACGTGTGGAGGAGCGTGTTCCACCCCGGCAGTAACCTGGCCACTCGCAGAATCGGCGCCGAAGTGTTTGACAAGCCTGCTCACCCCAACTCCCCCACTGTTTATGACTGGTATCTTATTTTGATTACAAATTAAAAATTACGACATAAAATCTTGTAATTCTTGAAATCATTTTATTTAAAAAAAAAAGATTAAAATAAGAGTAAACCATTGAAAATATATAAAACAAGACTTTCTTGTTTTTATACCTAAAATAGGAGTTAAGACGCATTTATATTACCAAATATGGTCATGCACATTATCAAAAAATATAATAATGTGCATATGTACAATGCACATTATCAAAAAATATAATAATGTGCATATGTACAGTGCTACACTACCACAGTGTGAAGTCCTATTTTGGAAATAAAAATATGTATTCCGGATAACTTTTATTTTGGTACTTTTTCTATGTTTTAATTTTATTTAGCGTGATTTATATTTTATTTAGAAATTAGTACATCAATAAAAAAAATAAAAATTACTCTCCCCGTCCTTGAGTATTTCTTCATACATAATAGAAGAAAGAATTAAGGTACTGTATTAATTTCTGGAACTAATATTGCAGGATGTATAGTGGAGAAACGAGATCCAAGCACCGCTGAAGAAATTAATCGGATTGTGTGTTTTATTACTTGTGTTGTCATTTGCTTATCTTCAGACTATTGTGTGTTTAATGATGTATAATTACTAATGTTGTCATTTGCTTATCTTTAATTATGTATGATTACTAATGTTGTCATTTGCTTATCTTTAGATTGTGTGTTTGTATATTTATTTCCTATTTTTGTACTTGTGTTTTATTTATTAATCTACCCTCAAAGTGTGCAATAATCTTATGAGTATGATATGATACTACTCCCTTCATTTTTTTTTTTGAATTATCTTATTAACAAATTGTCATCAAATAAGTGATCCATTTAGTCCCTCAAAAAAAAAAAAGCTATCCATTAAGATATCCAATGCAATTAAGTATAGTGAAATGACTTATTTGCCCCTATTCGTTAAAGATTAGTCCGAGAGGTAACATTGCTCACTACTGGGAAAAATATTAAAAAAAAATATTGGCACGAAAAATTGCAATGATTATTAGAAAATTATTTATAGTTACATTTGAAAAAACTTTATACGTGGTATAAAAAATTGTATTAAATTAGTTCTATTTTTTCTCCTTCTACTTTTCTTCTCAAATCAAACAAAATTTTTTTTCCCTTTTTTATTGAATTTCTTTAACTAAACATATTGTTAGAGAATATGATATTTCTCCGATAAACAAGAAATAAATTGTGCCCAAAATTATTAATCCATGCATCACATCATACCTTATCCTGCAATAAAGTAAGGATAAAATTCGAAAGTAACCAATATTACACATTCTTTAAATCTCATACTCCCTTCGTCCCAGAATATTTGTCCACTTTCATTTTTACACACCATCCAATGCACTTCTTTAATCCAATTTATCTTGTAATTTGTATATTAAAAAATTATAGAAATTATATATTAATAATCTATATGTTAAGACAAATCAAACAAGATCACATATGACTATATTTAGGCTTACCCATTGAGAGAATTTGATGAGTCAAAGTACTTAGATGAACAGTTCCAAAAGTCAAAAGTGGACAAAAACTGGGGGACGGAGGAAGTATTTTTTTTACTTAGAAAAATTTTATGGGGTGGAAGGAGTAAAAAATAGTGAGACAAAGAAAATATTATATTTAGACTCGAGAAAATGTTAGTCACAATCACAAAAAAAACCCCAAAATTCGCAAACTTGTAACTTGTTACTCCGTATTTGTGAGCCTTACTAAAAGATTACAATAATTTTAAATAAATAACAATTATATATTTATATTCGCAGATGGCAGGTTTATAAATTTTGTAGTCTTTTTTGTCTTAAATATCTGGCGTATCAGTTTTCTCTTTATTTTTTGATAGATTTGTTTCACCTGCTTTACAATAATAATCCAAGTCCCTAAGACATCCACCTCAAGAATCTAGTACTGTTATTAGTCCCTAAGACATGCACCTTAAGCATTGTTTGGATAAGAGGAGAAAATGAGTGGAAAGAAAATGGATGGAAAGAAAACAGAGAGGAAAGAAAATGAAGAGAAAATGGGAAGGAAATTATTGTTGTTTGGATGAGTGGAAAATGAAGTGAAAATGTAAAAGGAAAGAAAAGGTGATAAAGCCAAAAAGACATTTTTGCCCTTTCTTTTTATAATTGAAAAAGGACCATGCTACATGTACCCCATATTTGTACCCCAAAGCTTTAACCTGACATTTAATGTAGATGCAACACTGGCATATTACTGGTTTTGCACCTACATTAAATGTCAGGGCAAAACATTGAGGTACAAAATGGGGTACAATATGGGGTACATGTAACATTATCCATTGAAAAGGACCATGCTACATGTACCCCATATTTGTACCCAAAGCTTTAACCTGACATTTAATGTAGGTGAACCACTGGCATATTATTGGTTTTGCACCTACATTTAATGTCAGGGCAAAACATTGGGGTACAAAATGGGGTACAATATGGGGTACATGTAGCATTATCTATTGAAAATTTCAATATATGGAGGATATAAGATAAAATGCAGGGCAAAATTGTCAATTTACTAGTTTTCTCCTTCCTCCGTCCCATTTTAAATTATTTATATTTCTTTTTGTCCGTCTCAAAATAAGTTATATGTTTCTTATAGTAATAAATTTTTAAGGGTAAAATATTTAAACTACCCTTAAAATAAGTCATTTCTCTCCACCTCATCTTCAAATCTTCTCATTCATTACCACCCCGTAAAAAAAACTAAGGCATTTTTGAAAAATTAACACCACTTTTTGCCTTCCTTAAATATGCCCCAAAATCAAAACGGACAATATAAAATGGGACGGAGGGAGTAACTCCTTGTGCCCACCAGTCAGGAAGAATCTATATAAAACTATCTTACCTAGTTTCTACTATGTTTTTGTTCTTTAAATTTTATGCTATGTGCACTAAAACTTTCTACTTTTTATACGTAAAGTTTGCATAATTGCATAAATCCACTCTCACCCATGTCTGTAGGGATTTCACAGGGGATTTTTGTGGGATCATAATATGCAACTGTTCTACTTATAGATATTCCCACAAGCAATTCAGAAAGTAATATGAAGATCATAACACATGCAAAAATTGGTACATGTATATATGAATAAAACACTTCACTTAGTATCACTGTTTCAAAAAAAAAAAGGCTTATAACATAACATACTAAATGATCAGCTTGTCATTTATGTTAGTGTTATCTCAATTTGGACTTTCCCTATTAGATCACAACACCTACAAGGTGCATAAATACAGTACAAATTAAAAGGATTACCTGGTCATCCCGCTAAAAGCTACTGCGTAAATTAAACAATTAGACCTCTGTATTTTACTAAGCTTGAATTTGTCGACGAGTATCATCTGTGCACTGCAACTTAAAAATTTTACCACCGCCACCAACATTGTCATTGCCATCCCTAACCCTTCGACTTTAGTCGATAAGCCAAAAGCTGAATTTTGAAACAGCAAAAGTATGAGACAAAAGAATATAAAATGGGTATTTGGCACAATGAATTTTGATTTGCGTGAAATGGAACTGCAGCTATACACTCCGTATATGGCTAAAACATTTGACCTTAGGTGCAGATTGACCCTTTTCAAAAAGGGGAACATATAAACATTAAAAACAAGTTCTGTGAGCATCTAAAGTCTCTCTATTTTTAGTCCTTCATTATTAACCAGTGTCCTTACGTGTAACTAAATGGAATGATAGAACATATATTATGAGCCAGTTGTGATGTGCCATTTGGCCCACAACCCGTTATACTATCTTAAAATATTGTAGATGATTGGCAATTGTTGTTCTCAACCGGTTTTTTATGCATTAAATATCACATCAATCGTGTTTTGTGATCTTTTGTGTGTGTGTGTGCGCACACACACACACACACACACATATAATGATTATTGCTCTGTATGCAATTAATTATCTTTTTCTAATCTTTAAAATTCTTTTAGCACTTAAAGTCAATACGCACCTGGAGGAAAATCTTAAGGACATAAGAGCATTTCTTCTCCTAACTCTAATTGCATGTTTTCGTAAATGAACTACATTTTGAAACTGAGTGCTTACCAGATTACATTGACTAAAACCACAGCTGGGTTGGATTTCTTCCAGCGTCTGGTTTTGTTGTAACAAGTGGAACTCACCGTTGCTAGGAAAACCTGCAACTGATTTTTTTATGGGCGTGGCCTCAGAGCTTGAAGGTTTCTCAAGGGAACGGAGCTCTTTCATCACCAAGATGTCAATTTCATCAGCTTGAATTGAAGTCTGCAGAGAGACATACTGTATGGATTTGCATTCAGAATCTTGTATTGCAAGGAAAAGCAAATAAAATCACAACTGTTGGTTCTTTTTAAAACAAAGAAAGAGGATTAAGTGGTGGCAAGCTATACTTGAATCAGATGTTTAACGGTCAAAGTGGGTCTGCAGCAGAGGTATGGTCGCTGCAAACTTGGAATATCTTCCTCACACAAGGACACGAGCATGAGGCTGATATCCACCTGCCAAAACAAAGAATAAAAAGCAAAAACAGTTGAAAGTGATAAAATGTATTGGTGGCACTGATATTAAGCAGGCAAAAATATAAATCCCATAAACTCATTTACATCATCGATTTTACCTTTACATCATTTTCATTTGAATGTTGCAGAGACTCAATCAGCTTCGAGACTCTGCTATTCCTACGAACCTGAGAATTACTAACACCACTGCCCAGGCTGCTATACCTATTTTGAGTCTTCTGACTTCGCATGCCACCCTTCCCCCAAGCGAGTATTTCTGAGCTGCCAATAAGCCCCATTGGACCAAAAGACTCTCTGTTTATTTCTAAATCATTTTCTTCACAGCCTGAACTGCCATTGCCAGCTGTTGAGCCTATGGAAAACCGCCCTCCGAATCTTTTAGACCTTTTTGGTCTGGCTTCTGTATCATGCTCATCAGCAGAAGACGAATCTTTGTCATCATGACCATTGCCGTCCTCATCGTCAGCAGACTTTTGAGGCTCGACTCGAGGGTTTCTCCGTCTCCTTAAATTTCTATTCCCAGATCTCCTCGTATATGTCGTTTGGTTTGATCTTGGTGTTCTCTTTCTTCCCAGTGCTTCTGTTTGACGTCGAAGCGTCTGGGCAATTGAAGCTTGAATCTGTTGACAGGTCAGCAGAGCTGAAGGATGGAAAATATAGAATAAAGCATGAACTATATCTGTATGTAAGATATTCAGATTGTTAACTTGGCTATTTTCAAAGACGGCAATGCTCATGGTCGTCATGCAAATACCCGAAGCTTCAATACCACGGAGGGTATACAAAAACAATCTCAACTGATCACCATCTCATAATATTTTATATGCAATTGGTAAAAAATGATGGGGGTGGTGGTGGCTTTAGAATTTCATCACATTATTCATTTGTAAAAAGGGTGTGATTGGAAGATCATCGGGTGTAAAACTTTGTCATAATGTTATTGCAGTAATTACACTACCTACTCACTATTAGTTTTATCCCGCAGATACTAACATAGTTGGACTTAAGATGCTGATGAATCATGAATGTTCCCATTTCACATTCAAAAGTACAATTTTCTAATGCAAGTGAAAAACATAAAATCTATTTTTTGCACTTACTGTCTATAGCACTTTGAAGTTCTTAGAACTCAAAATGTAATCTAGTTTATTAGTGCTGAAGCTTTAAAGAGTTTGAAAAATCAAACTCACCTGCTTATTACGAGCCACCTCCTCTTCATGAAAAGCCAATTCCTGAACAGAAAAAACAAATTTGTTCACATACTAGTTCTAAAGGGAAAACAATGTTCTATGTTACCCATGTACAAGACTACCTCTTCCTCATATTTGTCAATATCTGGATATAGTATTGCTATTAAGGCATCATAATTTGGATCATCCCTTAAAGAACGGCGACTAGCACAGTGTGTGCGACAAGCAGGACATTCATTGTTCCTAGTTCATTTTGTTTTTCAATTAGTTCACATGATAACAAGACAATGTCTATCAGTAAATGATAAACTAAACTAATACCCCATTCGCATAGACTTGTCAATACATTCTCTGCAAAATCGGTGTAAACATTCCATAACTGTTCTTGTCTTTCGAATAATACCTGCCCATACACATTGATGAGAAAAATTACACATATAATTCATATTTACCTTGCATATATATATATATATATATATATATATATATATAGACACACACACACACACATATATGGAGGCAAAGATATGAAGTCAAGAGACATTAAATCCCTTGAATAATTCGTGATATCTATAACTCAATTGACTAATACTGTAGCCATTCCCGAAATAGGTTTACCTTAAAGATGCCATAGAAAATAGCTTAAAAAATCAGATGCCGCCAGTTATTCATGGCAGGATACTGAAATGTTACGATGTCTATCAAGTTTCATTTTCCAGCTATAAATTATCATCGTCATAATGGTCTCCATGGGGGGCCAACAATAACATATACAATGCCACTTATTTATATAAAAGGAATTAACAGCACAAATTTGTGGGAAAAAAACATACTGCCACTGTGTCTGAATGAATTTGTTCACATGAACTCTCAAAAATGTCTTTAAGCAGGTAAGCTCATTTTTCAATCACCCACAAAGAAACATTGACCCATCGGGCCCATTAAAAATGAAACGCAGGTAGGCTCGTTTTTGTATTAGCTGATTTGAGAAAATGAATGGTTTAAAGATTTTGATGGAAAATGGAGACAAAGGATGAGGCGGCGAGGGAGAAGAGTCTACCCAAGGATGAGAAAGAGAGACAGAGACGGAGGAACCCTAATTTTACTACCAAATACAAAACAAATCCCCAATTCAAAGAAATCATAACCAAGCACATATCTTCTCAACTTCATTCCTTAATTTTATTAACCAACACACCCTTTAAAAAGCTCATCTCTTAGAATTTTGGTAGACCTTAATAGGAAGGCAGTATGTGCATGTGAATAGGTGCTATCATGCATACAAACGATGCAGCAGATATTTTATCACATCTATAAAGGTTGTACCATGTGCATAAGACTTGTGCTAGTAGCTATACCTGTAAAAGTGCCAATGTATGCCGTTTTACTCTCATTTTGCATAAATAGAGTGTTTCCATAGTTTACCCCATTGCCAAAAAAAAGCAATTTTGTCACATCCATCATCATCATTACCTCCTTAATCCTAACTAGTTGGGGTTGGTAGTAATAAATATATAGTGCCAATTAATTGCATACAACTAAATAACACTATAAATTCATGCAAATAATCATGTAATGACAATGCTTTGTGTTGGATGACATTCCTGTCGCAACCTTTATAACAAGGACTAGTGAAATGAAAAAATCTAAAACCTACATCATCATAGGCAATTTTCATGAAAAATATGATGAGTTGGTGATGAGTTCATATATTTTATATTGCCATATCCATTACAATACTGATATTGCAAGACCAACATGAAAAGCATGGAGCATGACCAAATTTCGTCACATCCTTGAAATCTAATAAATGAAAAGCAGAAAAGGGAATATAGAAAATACCTAAACATATTGGACATTGTACTTCTTTGCGTATTTCTGATAATCTTAGAGTGATAAATCTGTAAAAGAGACACATACATTTAGATAATGTGATCATTCATTTTCATAATTCAAATTACTTTTCTAACACTATGCTGACAAAAAATGCATTGTAATAACCACTAAACCAGGAATCGTGAAGGGAACCCAAAAAAGGATTACTCATTAAAATTTAAAATAAGTAAGTCATTCATGTACGTTCCTACTCCCTAGATATAAAAATCATGGTGTCTCGTTGAACGTTTCCTATATGCCAGTTCTTAACCTTTTCCATTACTTGATTTGATTGTACTTGTTCTTGAAAACGACATAGTGCAAACACATTGACATAATTTAGAGCATCAAACACTAAATATATTTTTAAGAAAAGTTTCTATGTAACAATATAATGCCACACCTTTTAAACATTATTTGTCTGTTTAGAAAGATATAAGTGATTTATTTGAATACTAAAACTCTTCTAAGAGAACAATAAAGAATGATGTTCATCTTGTCCCCTTCTTTTCTTTTCCCCCCCACTCAAACTGTGATTTTAGTTTTCTTTTACCTATTATGGAGTAAACGGTATGTTGAAGAATAATGCACATTAATCCCGCCGTCCCATAAAAGACCTTATAGTTTGACGTTCATGGAGTATGAAAGTTTTTGAAAAGTAAAAAGTATATGACTAAAATTTGTTTAGATGATAGAGAAATATATTCAGCCACATATTCATTACCTAAATAAGAAATAAAGTGTGAAGTTTTTTTAGGACGTCCAAAAAAGGAAAGTGTAAAGTGTTTTATGAGAGGGAAGGAGTTTAATAAAACGAACAAGTACACAACATTATGGCTTCAACTAGGTAATTGACTGCATTCAGCCTTATAAACCTTGGTTTGACACTTTGACTCATATGCATCATAGCCCATTTTCTATGTGAACCAACTTTGGCCTGATTATGTCATCTAAGTCATCATTGCACTGCTGTTTCTATGACTACTCTAAGACATTCATAGGTCACCCTAATAAGCAAATAGTCAAATACAAAGGTATATATGATTGCCCCTTGCATTTTGCCTACTTACTCTCATACAATGCGGCATGTTTCTTATTTAAACTACTAAACCAAGACTATTTAAGTATAATGCAAATAGATTTACAGTTTGACAGGCAGGTTTGGTGCTTATGGAATGAACTACTTTCAAAGATAAACAGAACCATTCAGCAATACCACTGAAAGTTCTGTATCAGCTTTCCAAAAAACAGTTACCCATGTTAAGATAAATCCATGATAGTATAATTGAATATTTTCCTTCAATCAATTCATCATTTTTAATAGGCCATTTTTATCACAAAGAGAAAAAAAGAGGATAAGAGGCAGAAGTGAAAGAGAAATGCAATCTCTGAAAACTATTCACCAGAGATTATCCTAGAAAATGAGGGTTAGATTACCATAGAGGAGCTACTCAAGCATTGCACAAATGAGCAAAAACAAGCTTATGCAGCTAAACACAAAATGTGAAATCTGGAATGGAACTATCGTTAAAATATAATATAGAGTACTCAAATTAACATGAACACTGATATTGCTAAGATATCCATTGGAATAACCAACCCACAGGCGTAATAAAAACTTCTTCGCAAACCAAGTTCAGTATAAGCAAATATACTACTATAAGCTAATGCATCACATAGCACACACATATGGCTTCAATTTTAGAGAGAAGAGTAAGTGACAGTACTCGTCTTTCTCGGCATCACTGGAAGAAGGAGAACTTTCATCCGAATCTACAAGTCAAAGACAAAAATCTCGAGTGAAAACCAAAGGCGCCATAGAAATTATGTACTGGCACGCGAGGTATCAAGAGCGAAGAGCTGATTCCACACGTGAAGATAAACCTAAGATACGCGTGCACGTACCGTCTCCTTCGTCGGCTTCTTCGTCGTTCTGATTCTGATTGTCGAGCTGCGAATCCTCGGCCTTCCCCTCCTCATCCTCGGCCGACGGCGGCGGAGAGGCGTCGCGCGGACGCTTCTGTGCAGGCATTGACTTGTCAAGCTGGCAGCCAAGCTTCGCCGGCGGTTGCGGTGGCGGTGGTGGTGGAAAACGAGGACGGAGGTGCAATATGAGTGTCTCCGCCTTCCAAATGTTTTTTCGTGAAATTTTTCGGTCAGAGCGGGGCTGGGTACAAGTCCTGAAGCACACAGTACATACTATGCCCGATCGACGATTTGGTTTTGTATGCACTATGGAGCACACTTTTCCATGTGGAATGGTTGAAGATTTGAAGTCTCCAATACATATATCCCAAATTCTAAACTTCAATTTAAAGAAAATTTAAATTGTTTATTTGAAATTATCCAATCCTTTTTTTTTTTGAAAACAAAATAAGAAATTTAGTTGAAACAACTAGTATCGAGAATGAGAAAATTTTATTAGATGTTTATTTTTTTTATCCATATTTTAGAAGTATATTGATATTTAGGTGTAATATGACATTATAATATGACAAATTAATCTAGATTTGGACATATCTACTTTTTTGTATATGCACAAAATAAAATGTGATGTGTATATACTAATTTTTATAATTTGCACATTCTAAGTATATATAGAAAAAATTACTCCGGTTTATTCACTTTTATTTTCAATTTTTTTGTTTTTCATTGATGTGAAGTGTTATAGATTATTTTCAACAAATCAAAAATTTCTTCTAGCAATAGAATGAGCATGACTTAGTTATTAAATGTGCACAATAAAATCGAGGAATATCTAAATGGATTTCTAAAGTGATGATTTGCAAAAAAAAAGATTTTTTTTAGTTTTTGTAAAAAAATAAATTACTTATTCTTCTTCCAACTGAAATATCAATCACGTCTATCACAGTTAGGACATGTTATTTTTTGTTGGGATTCTAAAGTTAAATGTTGGAAGAAACTGTAAGAAAATTGAAAAGGTCAGAAATAGTTAAAAAAAAAAGCAGGAAGTTAACTTTTCTAATACAAAAGAACAAACTCTTAGATTAGGAGATTGATATTTGAATTGAATAAAGAATAAGTAATTTTTTAGTATTAAAACTACAAAATGATATATTTTTCAAGTCATCACTTAATATACATATACTGATATACATACATACACACACACATATATATATATATATGTGTGTGTGTGTGTGTGTATTACACAATATGATTGTACAAGTAATGTGGCGGGTGACATTTTAGAAAACACATTATAAAAACACAATATCATCTCACTAAAATTATCATACTCCCTCCGTCCTAAAATGTTCTTCCCACTTACTTTTCACACGGTCAAATTTTAATCACTTTCTTTTGTAGAACTTTTGATGTAGTTTTTAAATATATAAATTTTATTTTTTAATTTTACATCTACAATCAAATAAGTTGAATTAAAAATAAAGTCGATCAAACCTCGTAAACAGAACCGGGAAGAATATTATAAGACTGAGGAAGTATTAAAGAAATGATAGCAAAACATGAACTTCCTCTATCGCAACGCACAAAGTAGTTCTCTATTGATTTTAAAACAATTACAAAGTTTTAAAAATGTTTTAATTGAAAATGTATCATTTAAATTTATATAGAACAATGACAATTTGTAAGAAAAAAATTACGGAGTAACATACACCTTAACATGTACTCCCTACTTGGCAAAACACAATCAAAATTGATTATCCGAACAAAATAAACCCAAACTGAAATGATCCAAAAAATGAAAGAGCAATCTATAACCGAATACTCCAGATGATTCAAATCAAATCGAAACTGAACTAACTATATCCATACCTGATTTAAATCTGATACTAATTAGATCTGAAACGGATAATGTCCGAAACCGTTTATACTTGAAACTGATAATAGTCAAAACCAAAACTCAAACCAGTTATATCTTTTCATTAAACATATTACGTAGTACTTTGTATAATAATTTTGTGCATAAGTGCACAACAATATTAATGTAAATTCAAAATTTCATATTTTATTTTACTATTTGAACAAGTTGGATACACACACACATACATACATACTTTCTTTGTTCTAATTTTTTTAATAATTGAAACGTTTTAATCAAATTATTACATACTTTGATCTTCAATGTAAGAGATGAGGAAGAGATGGTTGAAATTGAACGAGATAGAAAATATATAGGAGGAGAATGAGAAGTGGGAATGAGCTTATGAGGAAATGACTGAATTGAGAAAGGTAATAGGGATGAAAAATTTCAAAGCTTAAAATATAGAGCAAAAAATTGAAAATGCATGAAGAAAATGAAAAAGAGAAAAATAATCTTACAAAATACCCTACAGTACAGAAAGAGTGTAAAATAATATAAGATGATGAACTGATGACACATTAACCAATGTTATATGGTAGAAAATGAAAACACAAAATTGTAAGATTTAATATACAAATAATTTGGAGTATATATCTGAAATATATTTAAAGCGAAACATATTTGAACAGAAATATACTTAAAACCAAAATGTACCCGAATCAAAATTTATCTGAACCTGAAATCTATTTGATCTGGTTTGTGTCCAAATCGATCCAAAATTGAACCGAAATCAAAACACATAATTGCATGGAACTGAATTAAATAGAATCAAATCGAAAAGAAATGATTACAACCGAACGAATTCAAACCAAAACCAATCAGATTTATGTAATTACAGGTCTACTCAATAGTCAATAGTCGTCGAGGTCCATGGCCAAACCTCTTCGTTCGTTTCTCCAAACTATCCTTACCCTGACCAAATTATGTGTTCTCAAACTTTGAAAGAACCAAAACGCCATTTTTAAGACGCAAACTGCGACTATAATTTTCCGAGCATTGATCATTCCATTGCCACCGCTCCTCCGCCCGTCGGTTCGCGACTCGTCGTCCGAACTCCTCTCCTCCTCCATACTTTGCACCCCACGTAGACGATGAACCTCCAGGAGGTAATCGACGTCGGCCGCAATTTCGCCGTCATGGTTCGGATCCAAGGCCCTGTAAGTTCTCTCCGAGCAAGTTAGTGGCTGCAGCCGATGGTTCCTGATGATTTTTAGCTCTTATTTTAATCTTTTCTTCTCAAATTTTGATGCAATTTTAGGACCCCAAGGGTTTGAAAATGCGAAAGCACGCATTCCACTTGTACAAGTAAGGATTTTTTCATCTTTTAAACGGGGAGTAGTGTTTAGTTCTTGACTTCTTGCTTGTATTGAACTGGAGTTGATTGAATTTTACATTTCGGGAATTCTATTTGCTTATTTGCCGAACAATCTGGGCAGTTCGGGAAGAACTACATTATCAGCTTCTGGAATGCTTTTGCCACGCTCATTTGTTAAAGCTTCAGTGGCTAAGCAGTTTGAGGGCGAAGGCGATTTGCAATCCGGAGGAGGTTGCATTTTGGTCATTACTGTTGCCTCTGTTCTTGAGCAATTTCTTTCACAGCAGTATCGAGATAACATGTCACAGGTTAATACTTAATACACAGTTTAGTCAGTAGAACTACGTGCGGTTTATGTGAGTTTTTATTTTGTTCTCACACATGGTGTTTGTTTTATGATACCTAGCTGGATAGACCCATGTTGATACCCGGTGCTCAGATTGAAATATTGATGGAGGTGTGCAATTCATGTAACTTCAGCTTTTTTCACTCAATTTTCACGAAGATTGAAGATATGTGTTACACTGTTATATATTATTTAAGACTTACAGACTACAGAGTATTGTTTTGTGGAGTATTGAACTTGGGTTATGTTCATACACACTATTTGCTTATAGGGTAAGGAGGCTCATGCAATGACAAACAAGGAGGCTCTAAATTGGCAACCAGCTGAACTTCTTAGAGTGGTAGGCATTCCGTAAGGGCATAATAAACAACTTTCCTCAATTAAATATTTGTTTGCATCTGTTATTTTAAATAAATTTTACACAACTGATTTTTTGTCTGATCTCTCCATGATACACACATTCTCGTTGTCATAATATGATATGGAATTATCTTTGTCTAGTATTGAAAATTGGTTTCATATTTGGGATAGCACTCTAGTTCTTGTTATATATCTTACATGGTAAAGTGTCCCAGCATTGTCATGTTGGTGTTCATTTTGAATTTTGAAGGTCAATGTGCCTACATCGTCTACCGCTATCCAATCTCTGGTTGAAACATCTTCTGGTTCAATAGAGCACGATTGGGAAGTTGGTTGGTCTCTAGCTTCCTACGGAACTGGTCATCAATCATTTATGGAATCTGCACGAAAGCCGGTAGTTCCTGTATCTGAAACTCTTTAACTAAAAGGTATCACATTTTCAAGACTTATTTTTATATACAAACTCTATCAATAGGATATATTTCTATGTTGTGAGGATTTCGAAAAATATATGAACCAGTGTTGTGGTTTTATCTTGTCTTCAGTATCATTATTGCAATTTTGACCAGGCTTTAGAATTCCTTGCAAACTTCCCATTGTCCGGGAGCGTGTATTTTGAATTGTACCTTTTGTACCAAGGCCAAGGGTTCCATGCCCCTAGAAAAGATGCTTTATATGTAATTACAGTAAATGTAAGGTCTGCATACACAAACCCTCCCCTGACCCTACTTTCGTGGGATCCAACTAGGTTTTTGTTGTTCTTGTATTACAAAAATAGGAATCTTTTGCTCACGATTAGCATGGTTTCCCAATTAGGAGACCTGGAGTCCAATGCACATATGTCAAAACAGAACTGACAAAGTCCTAAATTATTACTCCTTTAACAATGTTTAAAAGGTCCATTGAAATTTGTCTGAAAAAAAAGTTCAGAAAATTGGCATTATAGATGGTCTATCATGTATCATGCTTTTTCGAATAACTCTTTCAGGTAGAGCAAGCTTCTTTCCCTAGCAAAACGTATATTCTGGAAACAGAATCCAGTAATCCAAGTTTGATGGGCAAATCAGCAGCCAGAGTTGCTCTTCTCAAAGTTTCTTCCATTCAGTATGGGGTATTGATGTATTTTTCATTCAGATAGCAATCTGTACTGCCAAAAGTTGCATGGCATAGCACATGGCTTGACTGATCTACTGTTGCTACTACTGCTTTGTTGTCACTGCTGAATCGAGTTCCTGTTTAATTCTCACACTACATGTTATTTAGGATCTTCCAAAAATAAGCACATCTCATTTGAACCAGAGGGGTGATCGCCTTCTGTCAATTGGTTCTCCTTTCGGCATCTTGTCTCCCATTCACTTTTTTAACAGGTATTTGCCTAATATGAAAGTATATTGAATATTTGCGTTATTAGATTTCCTGTTTAGTGTTTTCCTATCGAACATTCAAATCACGAGCTCAACACTTTATATGCCGACTCATATTAATTGCACTCTATCCATTTATGGGGCACTGAGCACTTGGCTTAATATTTAGAACTTTCTTTGAAATTACATCAGTCCAATTGATATTAGTGTCACCAATTCTTTTATTGGATTCTTCCTATGAGAGCTCCATTTTATTAGTTTGCCGATGGAACAGTATATCGGTGGGATCCATTTCCAACGTTTACCCATCTAACAAGTCACCAAGATCATTGTTGATGGCTGACATTCGATGTCTCCCTGGTATGAGAGTTTTCATTGTAACTTATGTTCTTTCAATTTCTTACTCTGTATATTCTAGAATTTTGGCTCTGTTCTCACTCATAATGTCTTTAGGAATGGAAGGTAGCCCAGTTTTTGGGGAACAGGCAGAACTTATAGGTATTCTATCCAGACCATTAAAACAAAGGACTAGTGCAACTGAGATTCAGGTATGCATGTCAGGTTTTGTTCTCCTTGTAAACTACCATTGCACTTGAATACTTGATACATGTCTGTGCATCTGACCTGCTAATAGTATTTTGGTTTTTAGAAGAGGTGCACAGTGTATTATTTTCTTTTTCAATGCACTCTGCACTCCTATATATTCATCTGTGAACTTAGGGGTTTAATATCCAATTGGAGTTAATTCAAAGCTGAAGGGGTTTTTCTTATTCTTGTTATTTTGTTACATATAGAGAATATTGTTTTGCTTAATATTAAAATTTTGGTGACAGATGGTTATCCCTTGGGAAGCTATTGCATCTGCATGCAGTGATCTGCTAGAGAAGCATCCCCAAATGACCTGGAATGATGCCCACCATGACAATGGAATCTTTAATATTAACAGTGAACCTATAAAGGACATTCATGGACATATCCGTTTAGGTCGTCCATCTTCGTCCTCAATTGACAAGGCAGCAGCTTCCATTTGTCTCATAACTGTTGATGATGGAGCATGGGCTTCTGGTATTTTACTCAACAAACAAGGCCTTATTCTTACAAATGCTCATCTTATTGAGCCGTGGAGATTTGGAAAGGCATCTGCAATTGGTGAAAAACATAAGACCAACCCCTGTGTTTCTACGCCTTATGATCAAACCAAATGTCCAGGTGATGAAAAAGTTGGCATCCATGCCAAATGTCAAGGTTTACTGCAAGCAGGAGTGGGACCTCTGGACTTTTCTCTTAAAAGCGAGCATATAGGGTCTAACATCCACCTGGAAAGGAAAGACCACAGAAGCATACGTGTACGTTTGGATTCTCTGGATCCATGGACATGGACAAATGCAAAGGTCATTCATGTCTCTAAAGGACCACTAGATGTTGCCCTACTGCAACTTGATTTTGTTCCAGATCAGCTGTGCCCCATTGTTATAGACTTCAGACACCCCTCCCCTGGATCAAAGTCATATATTCTTGGTCATGGCCTGTTTGGACCACGATGCGGTAAATAGAGATCATGCCCTCTGTTTCTCCCTAAAAAGATATCTTTTTCACATCTTCTAGTATAACATTTGTAACTTTTAATTCTGTATTTTGTTATAGATTTCCTTCCATCTGCTTGCCTTGGCGTGATAGCTAAGGTAGTTGAAGCAAAGAGGTCCCCGAACCATCAGACCACACAAGAAAGCTATTTTCCTGCAATGCTTGAAACAACAGCTGCTGTACATCCTGGTGGTAGTGGTGGAGCAGTTGTCAATTCTGATGGGCTCATGATTGGCCTTGTCACAAGGTATAAGAGAATACTCCTTACGTCTCTAAAGAAACTTTCTACTTTCCTTTTTCAGCTGAACAAAAAATAAATTCACATTCCATGTAGTTCACATTATTTCTCTCTCCTTTACATAAACTTCTACCATACAATTTCACTTTTTCTTAAAACCAACATACAATTTCACTTTTTCTTAAAACCACCATACAATTTCACTTTTTCTTAAAACCACCGTACAATTTCACTTTTTCTTAAAACCACCATACAATTTCACCTTTATTTAAAACCACCGTACAATTTCACTTTTTCTTAAAACCACCATACAATTTCACCTTTATTTAAAACAATGTGAAAAAGAAAAAAATGAGAACTTATTTTAGGGATGGTTATGAATGTAATGTATTCCTTAATCATATGTAGCAATTTGCCAATTTTTGTTGGTAATATTGCTTTGAAATCCTTCTTGATATGTAGGTTGTTTTATTCGAAATTTTACATCAACTTTAGTATCGCAAATTCGGTATCATCATTAATGTGCATGGTCTGGCTATGTTGACCATCACCCTGTTTTCCCTTCCCACACACAAAAAATTCATATTGGCATGTATTGTTTGCACAGCAATGCCAGACACGGCGGAGGGACTGTTATACCGTATTTGAACTTCAGCATCCCCTGTGCAGCTTTGGAGCCGGTCTTTAAGTTCTCAGAAGGTGTTTTTTTAACTCCATCAAATCATCAACTGAAGTCTTAGCTCTTAGTTCTTACAGTAATTTATATTGACTTTTAACTCCATGTGCAACGACAACAACAACCCAATATAATCAAAATGACTCTTAACTCCGTTGGGGTCTAGATGGGTTAAGGTCTAGATGGGTTAAGATGGGCTAAATCAAAATGAGAGACTAAATTTCATCAGTCTGGTTCTTTTGACACCAGACTCTAGTTTCATATTATTATAGCGGCCATTTGAGGCACCTACGGTAATTTTGTTGGACCTCGAGTTTGTTTCCACCCTCAGTTGGACCCTGAAATTGTCCCCCCTCACCCAATTGTCGGTTAGCTGCAGTATTTACAGTAGCAAATAGGGCAGGGGCGAGGGCCGGGGTGAGGGGGAGGAGGACAACTTCGAGGTTCAACAGAGCACCGTAGGGCTTGGTGTCATAATATGACACCCCATTCCAGTGTCAAAAGAACCTTGGTGAAATGGAAGCACCACACATCAATCATGTTTTCTGCCATTGTGTTTTCTTGTGACAGATATGAGTGACTTATCGCTTCTGGAGTATCTTGACAAACCAGACGAGCAGCTATCGGCTGTGTGGGCACTGGCGCCTCCTCTGTCTTCCAAACCAAACCCTTCTTTTTTGCTCAACCCGCCATTACTCCCACAAGATGGCGGCGGCGGGGGGAAGGAAGCCAAGGGTTCCCGATTTGCCAAGTTCATAGCCGACCGGAAAGAATGGCTGAAAAAGGAACCCCAAGTTGACAACTCAGGAGGAACATCCCAAAATAAATACATTTCAAGCAAGTTATGACAGCCCAAGACTTGAGGTCTAAAGTGGGAGGACTGATTGAGAACTAGACACAGAAAACAAAACTGAAAACTCCATATAAAAGGGGGAGCAAAGAATGTACAATGGTAGAAGAAGAGAGCAGGGCTCCTTTTATATGCTTCTTGTAATGTCATTTGGGAATAATGATAAATCAGTCTGCCCACTGTCTTAGTATGTACATTGGTTGGGTGTTGTAGCAGGCATATCCTCTTGTAGTTCTTGCTTCCTTCCAATTCCTTGCTCATTGAGGGTCTCACATAGTCACATACTTGGAATCAAATTGTATATTGTTTTTGTCATTATTTAAATTGTCTGTTTATAAAATTTAATTGAAATTATTTTTAGCTTATTTTATTCGAAAGCTGGTGTAGAATTAAAAACAAAAATTCATATATTCAAAAATTTTATAAAAAATTTTACAAAACTAGATGTGACTTGACTATATTATTGGCTAAGGAAAATAATTGATTGTGTGAATAATAAACAGATAATTTAAATTGGAATGGAATAAATATACTTAAATATTAATGTAAGTGTTACCCGAGTACGTACATAATTATCCTGTTTGTACAATGACTGAAATTATTTTGAACTCCAACTTATATGTAACAATTAGTAAAATTTAAAAATAAAATTTAAATATTAAAATAAAATTTATATATACTCTCTCCGTCCCTAAATCATTAATTTTTTTTTTTATAAAATGAAGTAAAATTCTAAATTTTTTCAACTCATTTTATTTAAAGATTTAAATATATAAGTAAAAAATAAAATTTACATGTATAAAAAGGGTAATAAGCAAGCTAAAGTTTACTACTTACTAGGAAAACAAGTTACCCAACCGAAGGCATAAGTTTACCAGGAAAATAACATTGCATCCATACATAATACATATGCATAATGCATATATACCCAAACAGAACTATATACGATAATACAGAGAATTTAGAGATACATTCATCATATATATTACAGTATTATTATTACCGGATTATTATTATTATTATTCTCATTTTTATTTTTCCCCGGCCTAATAAAACCATAAAAAAAAAGAAGAAGAAAAAAACAGCCACACCATGCATCAGCTTCCTCCTTTCACGGTTTCCTCTCGCGGGCGGCGGCGGCGGCGCGCCTCCTGATCTCATCCACGTCCTCGTCCACCGCCTTGGCTCCCTCGTCGGCTTTCCCCACCACGGTTTCCTTGATCTTCTGACCCGTCTCCTTCACCGCCCCGAACGCTCCCTCCACCGTCTCCTTGGCCTTCTCCCCCATGCCCTTGGCCGCCTCCGCCGCCCTGCTCGCCCCCTCCTTCGTCCTCTCCTTGGCCTCCTCCGCCGCCCCCTTCGTCTTCTCCGCCACCCTACCCGCCCCCTCCTTGGCGTCCTCCGCCGTGTCCTTAGTC